CTTCCGCTTATTGAAATTTTCGCTGTTTTCACATTATTGCTTTATAAATGCTAAAAAGGTATAAAAATGGATAAAGGTAATATGTTCGGTAATTGGCTTGCCTAGCTCACATTAGTAGGCGCCATCACGACTCCCGATGGTGGAAAATCCGGGTCGTGACAGTTTTAGCAGAAACTATGTAAGAGAGAACCAAAATTCACTTAATGGAAAGGTTTAATTTTTATTTTTTTTGAAGTAAAATAGAGTTTAATAAGAATAGCTACAACAGTTACGCATATAACTATAACATAAATGCACTGTGGCATAAATGTAAGTTTGACACTTCAGCAGAGGTTCGAACTTCTTACCTCCACCCATATTATGAACCCTCTTTGCCACTGCTCTGCAGCTTCCATTTGTATCTATTGGGTTCATGTCTTATAATATTATCTTCTTTCATGATTTTCTGATGAAGTTCACTAGTGAAGATAATTAATTTTTCGATGAAGCGGGTTCTTGCTATAAGGTGGGTCCGCCCTTGATCAGTATCAATCTTGAAGTTAGAGAAGAAAAGAGAGTTTGTGACTGATGTTCCTTTTTTGAGTTAAATTAATTGACCCTGATGCATATTGCGACAAACTATACTGTTAATTCTGCAACACTTGCATGCAAACCTTAGTAAGACGGCCACATGAAAAACAATAACAACAACAAACCCAATATAATCTCACAAGTGGAGTCTGGGGAGGATAGTGTGTACGCAGACCTTACCCCATCTTGTACGTAGAGAGGCTATTTTCGATAGAACTTCGGCTCACGAAAGACGAGAAAGAAGCAACAATACCAAGAAATAACAACAACGACATAGGGAAAAAATGCAACTAAAGGAACAATAAGTAAGTAGTCTAACAATAACGGAATACAAGTCTACCACTATTACTCTCGACTACCTACTAGCCCTCTACCTTGATTCTCGACCTCCATACCCAAATTCATGAACATAATGTGGACATCAGCACACGAAAAATTAGAAATCGTCCTGAATTCCTGTTTTATGGTCTTGAAATGCCTGTAAACGAGGAACAGTCATGGCAAAATTATGATCATTGTTCGTTAGGTCGTGCCGGATGGGCTTGTAAAATTTTAGGTGATTCGGAGCCTGTCGCGCGAATTTATAAAGATGGCATGGACATTAATACTCAAAAAGTTATAAATTGTTCCGATAGCTATTTTATGGCCCTAAAACGCCAAAAAACGAGAAACAATCACGGTGAAGCGATGACTATTATTCATTAGGTCATTTCTGATAGACCCACAAAAGTTTAGGCGATTCGCAGCTCATCGCCCGAATTCATGAAGATGACGTGGACATTAAAATATGAAAAATTGAAAATCATCTTGAAAATCTGTTTCATGGCCCCAAAATGCCAAAATCGGGGAACAATCGCGACAAAGCGTTGAATATTATTCATTAGGTCGTTTCTGATAGTGCCACAAAATTTTAGGCAATTCGGAGCCTGTCACCCCATTTCATAATGATAACATGGATATTAGCACATGAAAAATTAGAAATCATCTTTAATTCCTATTTTTTGCCCTAAAATGCAAAAAAAAATGAGGAACATTCATGAAAAGATATGATCATTATCCATTAGACCTTTTCTGATATGCCGCAGAATTTTAGGCGATTCGCAGTCCGCCGCCCGAATTCATGAAGATAGTTTGGACATTAGCATACGAAAATTAAAAATCTCCTGAAATCCTGTTTTACAGTCTTGAAACATCACAAAATGAAAAATTGTCATTACAAATCTATTTCTACTGTTCACTAGATCGTTTAATAGCCGATTTGGAGTCCGTCGCCCGAGTTCATGAAGAAGGCATGGACATAGCACACGAAAAATTGAAAATCGTCATGAATTCCTGTTTAACGGCCCTAAAACGCCATAAATGAGGAATGGTCATGGCTAAGCAATAACTATTGTTCATTAGGTCATTTTGATGGGCCCATAAAATTTTAGGCTACTCAGAGCCTGTCGCCCAAATTCATGAAAATACCGCGGACATTAGCACACGAAAAATTAAAAATTGTCTTAAGTTCTCGTTTTATAGCCCTTAATGCCAAAAAATGAGAAATGGTCATAGAGCAGTTGTTGCTCCCAAACGCACACGCAAGTATACGTGGTCGTACAAGTAATATAGGATTGTAAGTCTAGATATCATACCCACAGGGACTTGTGATTAACTATCAACTAAATTAATCTAACATAATTAATCTATTCAAGTGATTTTCTAAAGATTATTAACTACAACTATCTAGGGTAGCAAACTAAGAAATTAAAGGAAATAAGTCAGCAATATTAGAGACGAACTCAATGAGAGAAAATATTTTAGAGCTACGGGTTAGCTAACAATCCCGTTGAGTTTTCCACTTAAATTGTCTAATTAATTTATCTTGTTTATTGGTTGACGTGTGTAACGACCCGACCGGTCGTTTTGATCATTTGCACTTCGCTCGGTAGTTTGAGGGCATAAGTAACTCCGTATGATGTATCATGACATGTGTGAATTGTCGGTTTTGGTTTTCAGGTTATTCGGAATTGATTTGGAAGGATGAATTTCATTGTTGAAGCTTTAAGTCGGAAGAGTTGACCAAGTTTGAGTTTTGTAAATTTGACCCTGGAACGGAGTTTTGATGGTTCCGTTAGGTCTGGGTGGTGATTTTGGACTCGAGCGTATGCCCGGATTTGCATTTGGATATTTCTAGAATGATTCGGCACTAATTGGCGAGAGCTGGGAATTTGAAGGTTTGGAAAGTTCATAAGTTTGACCAGGAGTTTGACTTTGATGATATCGGGTTCAAATTGTAGTTCCGAGAATCGGAATATCTTCTTTATGTCATTTGAGACTTGTGTACAAAATTTGGATTTATCCCGGGTTGATTTGATATGTTTCGGCGCGAGTTTTGGTAGTTGAAAGTTCAAAGTTCATTTAAGTTCGAATTGAGGTGTGATTCGTCGTTTTGATGTTGTTATATATGATATGAGGCCTCAAGTAGGTCCATGTTATGGGACTAGTTGGTATATTTGGACGGGGTCCCGAGTGGCCTTGGAAGAGTTTCGAACGAGGTTCAGATCGTTTAGATCAATTTTTGGCTAAGGCTGCTCGCAACAGGATCTGGTGTGATCACACATATGGCTAGTTTTGCGCAGGTGCGATGGTCGCAAAAGTGACAAAGGAGTCGCAGAAGTAAGGTGAGAGCTGGGTGAGGAAGATCGCAGAAGCGGAGATTTGGGCGCAAGTGCGGATGCGCAGACACGATGGGGTGGAGCGCAGGAGCGAGGTCTTGCACAGGAGCGGATGGTGGCTCGCACCTGCGATGTCGCAAAAGCAAATATTTTATCCGTAGGTGCGAGGGTTGAGTTTTAGCTGGTTCTGCAGAAGCGGATGTTCTGTCGCAGAAGCGGCTAATTCATTCGGAAAAGCGAAGATGGTTGAGCAGAAGCTACTTATTGAGGGCTTGGCTATTTTATTCATATTTTGAGTTGGGGAGCTCAGATTTGAGCGATTTTTTAGGCAAATTTTATCATAAGGATTGGGGTAAGTGTTCTATACTCGGTTTTGATTGTATTTCGTGAATCTATCTTAATTTTTGGTAATTGGATTGTGAATTTTAAAGAGAAAATTGGGGGGTTTTGTCATAAGTTTCATAGAGTGAATTTTTGAGTTTTGAATATCGATTCAGAGTCGGATTGGGTGAAACTAGTATGGTTGGACTCGTACGTAATTGAATGGGTTGTCGGATTATATGTGTTTTGTCGGGTTCCGAGGTACAGGCCCGGGTTTGACTTTTTGGTTGACTTTGGAATTTTGATTAAAGATTCGACCTTTATCATTTAGAATTGTTTCCTTAGGCATGATTTGATGTTCTTGAGTTGCTTTTAGCTAGTTCCGAGTGGTTCGGAGGTCGGTACCCTCGGAAAGGAATTCTTGGAGTATCGTTTGGCTTGCTCGGTATTGAATTTAGCTTGTTCGAGGTAAGTAACACTTCTAAACTTGGTGTTGAGGGTATGAACTCCTGAATATGCGTAATATGTGTTTGGTGTTGAGGTGACGCACATAGTAGGTGACGGACGTGTGAGCGTGCACTGTGTGAATTGTAACTCAGTTATTTCTGTGGTACTGTGTAGTTACCTAATCTTATTTGTAACCATGAAATCTCTACGTGCTAGAGTAATTGAGTTGTGATCCATGTTAGAAATCTTGCTTAGGCCACATGCTGGTACTGTTGGGACCCACAGAGGTCGTGTTACATGTTGAACTAATTGCTTAATTTGAAATTTATACTCAATCACAGCTATTATTTGCATATCATATCTCAGTCTCTGTTGTCCTTTATTTATACATCATATCATCACTGTTTGGACTGATTATCATAATTCTTTTGAGCCCGAGAGACTGGAGAGATTGATGACTGAGTGAGGCCGAGGGCCTGATTGTGAGGATATTTATGTGATCGGGCTGCACGCCACAACATGTTTATTTGATCCATGCCATCATTGGCTTATTATAGCGCTTGGGCTGCAATTGCCCATCCGGAGTCTGCACATCCATAGTGAGTGCATGTACCTACTGAGTGCGGGTGCGAGTGCCGAGCGCGAGTGCTGAGTGACTGGGAGAACTGATTGGACTGAGTGACCGTGAGGACTGAGTGACTGTTTATCCAGTCAGGTAAGAAGAATTAACCTAATAGCCATCCACCCAACCGGTTAAACTAAAAATAGCCGTTGAAGGTATAATATATGCATAATTTGTGCATTCAATATGTATAAATATGTATAGTCAATGTATATAGATGGCTAGAAAAAGTAAACTTGAATATGACGGGCTATGCGTGTAAAGATCCCATCAGGTCAACTAATAAAAAGGCCGGCCCATTACAGTTAAGTCCAGGGACAAAAATATGGGCTTATTCAGAGGGAACCGAGTGAACAGAAGCCTAGTCCCGTCCCAACTAAAAACCCAACTAGCTAGTTAGTTTCTCCCTCATCGGCTATGGAAAGAAACTTTCTTCAATTTATCTATCGAAACCCTAACAACTAAGATCGTCCCTTCGGGGACATCCGATAAAATTGGAACGATACAGAGAAGATTAGCATGGCCCCTGCGCAAGGATGACACGCACAAATCGAGAAATGGTCCAAATTTTTTTTGCCATTTTCCTTGCTTTTTTATTCAGTTGAAATCTCTAACCTGAGGTCAGTTTCCATTTCTTACTTTAGAAATATTGATTAGAATTTCTGGATTTTGCTTTTTTATTCAGTTGAAATCTCATACCTGAGGTCAGTTTCCATTTCTTACTTTAAAAATATTGATTAGAGTTTCTGCAATTTCAGTTTCTGAAGTGCTTTACAAATATTGTATTAAGCCTATCCTTTGGTGTGCAATTTTGGGTCCTGGAAGATTTAGGTCAAATGGCATTATCCCAAAAGTTTTATCTTTTGGAAATTATATGCCAGTTTACATGTCAAATAGTTTGTGAAATTGGGTAAATTAGTGTTTTTGAACATTTAATTTAACAGTTAATCAGAAGAATGTGTTTGAAGAACATTTGTGTTATTTGGTGTTGGAAATTAAACCATTGAAACTACTTGTTTATAATTTCTCTTGCTTACGTTGCTAATTTTAAAAAAAAAAAGATAAATAGGAGAAAATAATTTCTCTTGCTTACCTAGTTTTAGGCAAATTGCATACAAATGGGAAAGAGGAAATGGATATATTAAGCAAGTATGCATAAGGCTTTGTACTCTTCATTTTGCGTTCAACACCTATGCCATATGTGTATAATATGGTTATGCATCATATCTATATCTATCTATATATACTATATTAAAAGTACGAAGACCCTTAGCAAAATGTCGTTCGCCTTTTTTATGCTCTAAAGATAGAGTTAATACTAGACAAAATAGTCATTTAATTATTTCCCTAAAAATTTGGACTTTGAAATCAACTAAAAATTTATTTATTAAATACTTCCTTATTTTAACTATGTACAAGATCCTAAATATTAGGACTCTTCTTAAATCCTTCAAAGTTTCCAAGTTTTTGTTCTTAACCATGTTAGGAACCGTTAGGCAATTTTTTTCCAAGTCTTTGGCCTTTTTATTTTGATAAAAAATAATTTAATCATATTTAGTATCAAACTTAGATAGTTAAACATAATAAAATTCTATCTTTGTTCAAATCCCGTCAGGCATATTTATTTTTCAAGTCTTTACCCTTTTTTATTTTTTTTATAAATAATATAAATTATGCTTGAACTTAAATAATTAAATATAATAAAGTTTTATCTTTGGCCAAATCGAAATTAAATGTAAGTTTTACACATTTTTAGTCTATTTCTATTACCTATCGGCTAAGTTGGTAACCAAAAGCGAAAAACATGCAAAATAAGTTTTTTTAACAAATTGTTCTTTTGAATTTTGGTTTCTTCTCTCTCCGTTTATTGAAATGTTATGTTAACATTTTGACAGATTTAATTAGAGTCGCCCCAAAATATCATAACTATTTGGTGTAGTTGGAGCAATTGTACATCTCATTTGAGCATTAAAATCTACCTATCTATCTATTTATACTATATTAAAAGCATAGAAGTTCTTAGCGAAATATCATTCGCCAATTTTTACCTTTAAAAATAGATTTTATACTAGATAAAATAGTCTTTTAATTATTTTTCTAATTTTAGGACTTTAAAATCAACTTAAATTTTATTATTAAAATTTTCCTTGTTTAAAGCCCATTAATATTAGATTTGTATTGAACTATTCCTATAAGATTCTTTATTATGCAAAACGTGAGTTAGCAAAATTCTGTAGGAGTCAAGCACGCAACGAATTCTGAAAACATAAAGATTCAATACATATGATTTTTCTTACTATTTGTAAATCGAATTCTTATTGGGAAAATTATAATTATTCTCAAATATTTAGAATGAGCAAATATTCAAAATTTGAATTAGTAAAATTAAATTATTTATTTTAATGTTGAGAACAAATAATTAAGTCGTTGAATTAATTAATTAGGAAACGAATCCAATTCAATTATTTTACAAATTTATCATATAGGATTTTTTTTGGTTAAATTGACAAAACACTTAAAGTACATAAATTTTATTTTGTAAGAAGAATATCGACAGTAAAAGAAATCATAAAATATAGCAAAACTAATTATAGTAAAAAATAAATATTTAAATCGGTGAAAAAATAAATTTTAAGCAATAAGGTAAAATTGTAGAAGGCAACCAGATTATAAATGAGTTGTCATTTGTTTCGTTTTTGCATTCAGTCTAACAAAGGAAAACATCTCGCTACAATGTTATACTAAGTTTTTTCTTGTACAATATTAGTTCAATATTACTCATTCTTTAAACTTTACATTGTCACTATCAAATTCTAAGAAGGTATAATGCCAACTTTTTTCATTCGCAAAAGTTTTAAGAGACCAAGAGATTTAATTTTTAATTTGTGTTATTTGATAAATCTTTAAAGAATTGTAAATATTAACAATTTTCATATGTTTTGACATAAGTCCGGACAAAATAACAATAAGGCATCTAAGTAAAATTCTTTCATTTGTTAAGCTAATTAAATGGGAATAATATTTATTATTTTTAAAAAAAATCTTAAATTATATTTCATAACTCAAACAAATTATCTAATAACATGTATGTAATTTTTAAAATTTGTGTATTCATTAATATAGGTACACGCGCAAAGCGTGTACCCTAAAACTAGTGTGTATAAATGATTAAGTATATGTTATTTGATTCTTAAAAGTATACGGTACATTCTAGTAGAACTTCAATATCCACCTCCGATCTACACGAACGAGGGCCAGCTAAAGAATTACCCTCTCTTGCACTATTTTGAGGCAAAATGGCTGTTACTGAATGTTCAATCAGTGGACAAGAACTTGACTGGAACTTTGGTAGCTAAATGGAAGCGCAATGGAACAAAGCTTCCTAAGAAGCCAGCTTGGGCTTGTTGACTTTGCCAAGCAAATTGTTTGTGAGTCAGGAGAAGTGGACATGGGGACTCAGGTCGGGGGGGGG